TATCCCTTGCTGGGCGCTTCGCCGGCGCCGGCCCCGCGTCCCTTCCCGGCGGGGAGCTGCCACCGTGCCGGCACCGGTTTGGCCGTGGGGGTTGTTTCAGCTCCTGCACAAACCGGAGCAACTCCCGAGCTGCAGAAACGGAGCAAAGGGTGACACTTGAATGGGTTAAAGTCTTTATATTTTCCCCCCTTTTTTATTTTCAACGGGCTCCGCGCTCCCTCCCCAGCTCTGTGTCCGGGCCTTCGGCCACCGCAGCCAGGTCAGGACGCGCTCGCGCCGGGAGGCGGCTCGTTAGGCGACTCGTTAGGCGAGCCCGGAGGCTCCGTCAACCGACAGAATGAATCCTAAGACGCCGGTTAGGATGGGTGCTTTCACAATAAGCAAAGAACTAATAGGATTTATTCTATTTTTACAAAGATAACTATGCTGTTAATAGTGCAATGAAAGCGAATTTCTGCCTTTTATTATTATTTTTGTTTGGTTTAAACGTACTCACTGACACTAACGCTGGTTCCGCGCCGGCTCCTGCTCGATTCGTCGCTGTGGAAGAACTGGACCAGCCCGTCTCGTCTCTGGTGCTACCGAGCTGCCGCGGGAGCCGTGGCACGATCGCAGCGCCGAAAGCCAGGCGTCCCCCGGCTCCTCGTCCTATTTAAACGGTGACTCTGCACCTCCTAAACCTCCCCGTCTCACACTGTCCAAGGTGGCTTTTTTATTTTTAATTTTCCAGTGTGAACCCAAAGCTTGTCCTCCGCATATTTTTTTAATTTCCACACACCCCTCCCGGCCTTTTCTGTTCTTTTCATGGTGATAATGCTGTATTTAAAGAGAATATTTAAGTGTAAAAATAAAAGAAATGCTCAAACGTGCACGGCGAGTTGCATCTTAGAGGGGGTTAAACCCACCCCGGTGAATTCCTCTTTGGTGGGGGTCTCAAATTCCTGCAAAAATAGCGAGGGCAGGGGGTGAGGGGAAGGGATTTCTTCTCCAAGAGGAGAGGGAGGAGCTTGGAGCTGGCCTGGCGCACGAGTGGGCTATTTCTAGCCCTCCTTTATACCCGAATAACGCTTAAAAAAGGAAATTTCCCAGGTGTTAGCGTGCCCCGTCCGTGGGTGGGGGAGCTGGCGGTGGGACACGGAGCATTTCCCGGCGCGGGAGGGAGGTAGGAGCCTGCAGAGAGCCGCTCGCTCGCTTTTGTCTTTAATAAAACACTGAAAGTTGGTTTAAATTCACTCAGCAGCTGGACGTTCCTCATGCAGTGACGGGGCGAGGCGAGACGCGGTGGGCTTGAACCCCTGAACGCAGCCTGCAGCGGGGAGCTGCCACTGAAGCCCCCAAAGCCGCCTCTGCCGAGCGGAAAGCGCAGGGGTAAGATCCAATTAGGCAGAACTTGACGAACGCGGCCCGTGGCCTCCGCTGAAGGCGTCGGTGCAGTTCAGCGCCGCCTTTCTAACCTGATCTGTGCTGGCAGCGGCGTTTCTCCAGCCCCGGCGTCCTCCCTCCCATCAGCCGGCGTCGGCGGGCAGGACTCCCCGTGACGGGGGCGCTCCCAACAGCGGGCGTCGGCGGCAAGGACTCCCCGTGACGGGGACGCTCCGGGCGGCAGCAACAAAAGCCCAGGAACCCCCCGCCGAGGTCGCACGGGGATTTGGGGCCTTGTCTTAACCCCTCAGGGAGATCTTTGTATTTAAGACTGCTCAGTGGGGTAAAGGAACTACGTAAAACCCTCTGTGTGAGGCACAGAGCAACAAAACCCAAGCTGAACGGAGCCCGCTAGTACGAGATACCGAGGGAAGTGCCCACGGGCAGCGGAGACGCTCGTTCTCCCCTCCCGTAGTTAAAGTGACGCAGTTTAAGAGGCGTAACAGCGAAGCGGGCTCC